ACGCCTGCCGAAGACACAGACGTCCATCCCAGTGAACACTGGGACGCAACTCAATGGGAAAGGAAAGGATTCTGGTTTCAACCGTTGCGTATATTAGCTGCGACACATGAATCAAGATGCTATGACTGAAAACATTTGATTGACAGATGACCGTTTATATATGATTGGCCGAATTTAGGTGTTCAGGCTGACGTAGAACTAACTGACCTGCAGAAGATAACGGAAAAAAAATACATTTTAAGACAATTTTAATAAGATAGAAATTTTCTAAATTTTGGGACAATATGGTCTGATAAAGAGAACATTTATATACATGTTTAAGCCAAAATGATTTGACATTTAAATATGACTTCCCTACAACTTTAATAAACCTGCCATATTAGATTTCAGCTAAACTTACTTATTGACTCAATCTTCTCCTTTGTTGCCTTCTGAACTAGAACTACAAAATAAGATCAGGTTAGAGCTTGAAAACGTTTCTTACCCTTTTTATCTTTATAGGACCATAACCATCTTGAATTTTTAAAAGACCCGCCCTCTACACTTAAAAAAAAAGTGCATGTGAGAGTGTGCATGAGCCCATTTCTCCTCGTGCACGCTCTGTTTAAAAGTTGTTCCTCTCATAGCAGCTCACTGTGTCCGACTCTCCGCCCTGACCTCTGACCCCTCCATCACTATATAGAGAGGGGACTCTATAGTGAACTTTATAGTGAACTCAGTTAACTGACCGTTCAGAGAGATGATCTCTGATTTTGGCTCCGTTGGTCACTCCTCCTGCTCCACGCCGTGCCTGCGCCATCTTTGTTATTAGTTGCTGCTGTCGGGTAGCTGCAGCCTAAGGCGACAGCGGGCCGCTGGGACATCTAATCCCATAATGCTTTGCAAGGAGAGCTCTCTGCGCAAAGCATTCTGGGATATATCTGCCTTTTCCGAGGCCTTTCCTTTCTTCTCATGTACTTCGTAGACACTTTTCCTCTTCTGACTCTCGGCCATTTTCAAAGAACCGCGGTGAGAAAGGTGAGCTTCACTGACCGTCTGAAACCGTAGCTCACCTCAGATATACGGCTGAAAGAAACCGATAGCTAACAGGACGAGCGCGTAGGGCGGCCTTACGGAAACGCATCGCCAGAATGATTGACAGTTAGGAGGACCACTGATTGAGATCCACCCAGAAATAAAAGATCCTCTATACCTTTAAAGTTCTATGTTCAGCAGACTTAATGTCACTAAAATAATTTTCTGCTCTTTTTAAATATACTGTAGCTGCATTAAATAAATAATTTGCTGAATGTTTTGAACAAATCATTTTAATGAACTGATCCCAGGGATTCAGTTCCCCTCATCGCCGTACGGCTTGCACATCAGACCTCAGGCAGACATTTTTTATTGTGTGAATGGTGATGTCTGTGTAACGCTGATCCTCTGACACACACAGGTCCACCTGTTCGGAGCGTCTTTGGGAGGATTCCTGGCTCAGAAGTTTGCAGAATTCACCCACAAGTCTCCCAGAGTCCACTCTCTGATCCTGTGTAACTCGTTCAGTGACACCTCCATATTCAACCAGACATGGACAGCAAACAGGTGCTTCTCGCCGTCGCTGACCTGAAGGTGTCCTCAGGGTCTCTTTATTCATTCTTGCTGCTTCTCTGTTGCTGCCCAGTTTCTGGCTCATGCCAGCGTTCCTACTGAAGAAGATTGTCCTGGGAAACTTTGCTAAAGGACCCGTCGACCCTAAGATGGCGGATGCAATCGATTTCATGGTCGACCGGGTATTTGACCTCCAGCTGAAATAAGGACGCTCAAAGCAGGCTGGTGTTTTTTAATTGATCCGTCTGTTTGCTTTCTGCAGCTGGAGACTCTGAACCAAAGCGAGCTAGCTTCCAGGCTAACGCTAAACTGTCAGAACTCGTATGTCGAGCCTCACAAAATAAAAGATGTTGCTGTGACCATCATAGATGTAAGTTTGTTTCTTCTGTTTTTTCTTTTTTTGGGGGGGGGATTTTTGTATGTCTTCTGACTGAGTTCTGCTGTCGATGTTGAGGTGTTTGACCAGAGCGCCCTCTCCCTGGAGGCCAAAGAAGAGATGTATAAACTGTATCCCAACGCTAGAAGAGCGCATCTGAAGACCGGAGGCAATTTCCCGTATCTGTGCCGCAGCGCTGAGGTCAACCTCTACATTCAGGTTGATTCTTTTCCTTCAACATTTCCATCATCATGCAGGTTTAACAATAAAGATCTTTTATAGTGAGGAAACTTGCTTTTAATTGTACCGTATTTTCTGGAGTATAAGTTGCAACTTTTTTCATAGTTTGGCTGAGGTGCAACTTATACTCTGGAGCGACTTATGTGTGAAATTATTAACACAATATTGTTAATTTCACACTAAACCACAAGAGGGCACTCTAGGCCAGTGTTGATAATTTCAACATTGGGTTTAATGTATAAAAACAACTGAGAAGGGCTTTACAAAAATGGCACCGAAAAGAACATTTATTCTGTAATTATAAAAGTATAAAAATATGCATCCAAAAACAGTAATCATGCAGCAGAAATAAAGTTTGGAGTTTGTGGAGTTTAAAAGTGACACAGAGGATGAAGATTTCATCAGATTTAGAAAGTTGGAGTGATACGGATGGTTTGGTGAACTTATTTATGCTATAGTTATCTGAATAACTATTAATATGTTAACATACGAGGCACATTCGCAGTTTGCTTTTTATGTGGCGTGTAATGTTAGCATACTGTACAATTATTTAGCCCAGGGGCGTCAAAGTGGTTCCAGAAAGGATTGTGTGGCTGCAGGTTTTCTTTCAACCAAGCAGTAGCGCCAGACTCCATTCATCTCATCCAGCGAGTCCAGTCTGAACATGATGACTTGATGAGATGAATGAATGAATGATGAAGTCCGGCGCTATTGTTTGGTTGAAAGAAAACCTGCAGCCACACGGCCCTTTCTGGAACCACTTTGACGCCCCTGCTTTAGCCTTCTATGGTACACAGATAACCTGGGCGGGATTTGGGCGGAACAGCTTCCAGTTCATCGTAAAGCCGTATGTTTGGAAAAGGGTGTATATGTGTGTATATATATGTGTGTGTGTGTGTGTGTGTGTGTATATATATATATATATATATATATATATATATATATATATATATATATATATATATATATATATATA